AAACCACATGGAATTGACAAAAATAATTCGTAATTTTTTTGTTGAAGTGCTATTCAGCATGGGGGTATAGTGTTCGAGTCAAAACTTTTTATTTTCTTTAAAAACATACGATATCTCGCATCATTCACTCTGGTGCAATTCTTTATGCCATACATACTAGTAGTAAATTCTTGAACTTTGTCCATTTTTTCGTCTATGAAAATATCGGCTTCATCTGTTAATTACGCAAAAACTGTTTAGTATCTTTTATTTCTCAAAAATACCTTAAAAGGTTTTACTTTTCCTTTATTGTAAAATGCTGCCGTGTAATTGCAACTTGTAAATGCATGGAAAGCGGGTAGACTTCGGCATAATTTGGATCCCAACTTCAACGCTAAATTGGTGCAACTTATGCAATCAAGATTTTCGTTATTTGTCTTTCTTTGTTGCTGAATTGGCTAACCAAATTTCAGATTCCGCAATTTTGTGCATATTTCCCAACAAACTAATCAAAACATCAGTATCAAAGGCTTTTATTAAAAATCTTGAACCTGGAGCTACTTTGTAAGCGGGAAAAATAATCTTCGTATCCACCTCTTCATGATGACATACATTATTACCTTCTTCATTTTTTTTTATGTAATTTTGTTGAGCTTGATAAGAGTAGCACTGATGGTCAACGGTTAAATTTTTTGTTTTGTTTTGTATTATTGTTATAATCGGCCAAAAACTCTACTAAAGCCTCTTTAAAACGATAATTTTGAAGGCTTTGGAAAAAATCTATAGGTCTGGTTTCGACTTCGGCGTTTGGAATCTTTTATTGACGGTGATAAATAGCGATCAAAAATTAAATGTATTTCTGTAGCGTTTGTTGAACATATCGACTCTGCACCTTTTTCAAAAGTTTGTGGCATAGATGATCCGATCAGGTGTAAGTAGTAAAAACCATCTATTATTTCAACGTGACCTAGAATCTAGACATTTTGGGTCTTCATCAGCGGTAGATGTATTGGAATGCACCTTAAAAGTGAATTTTTGTGATTAAATAAAAATGTTTGACATATAATTTTTATTAAATTCTTAATTTAGATGAATGAAAATATCCTCATTAATGATGTTAAAAAAAGTCACAGAAATCGAATTATTTCTTTATATTCTCAACAACAATTTTTTAAGGAAATAATGAAAATTTTATGTAGTTCGAAAATTAACAAAACCATAGGTGCAAATTTTTGAAAAACATTTTTTTCAATAATTTATTTAGTTAAAACAAAATCAAAATGTGTCAATATTTCATTATAAAAAATATAGAATATGTTATTTACTAAGATAATTTAGAATATTCATTTATTATGTACTTACGGTATTCTCAGCATTAAAATTATTACATTCTTCCCTATATTTTTTATTCAAGGCAGTCACTTTTTTGTAATAGGTGGTATGATAACCAACAAAATCGACAGACACTTTGGTTAGCTCAACATCATTGTATTTAAAATTTCTTATTTTACGAAAAGCCAATTTCAATGAAGTTTCTAAAAGTTTCAACGTTAAAATCAATTACACCGTCATCCAAGTTACACAAAAAATGCTTTTTAGCCATTGTTTATTACAATATAATGTTAATAAATCACAACGAATCAATTCTATCGCTCTTTAAAAACCGATAACCGTAATTCAAGACAGATTTTTTGGCAGACAACCTTATATCACCGTGTTTGCAAAAACATTATCTTTATTTTATCATAAGTTTTGTTTATTAAACAGACGAGTGCAAATTATTAGTATCGACTTACCTATTTATACCTGCCTACCCAATGGTTATGACTGGAAAAAAATAGTCAACCTAACGTTTGCATATTCTATATACTTTCGATTGGTATGTATGTAATTTGTGTACTAAACAATCAAGTGCAATGTTTTTTAAAAAAAAACCATTTTTAAATTTTTGATTAATCATATCCTGGACTGAAAATTTTCAGTCAACCTATTCGCAATATATTACTTACAGTTCATCAAATTTCTAGAGGTGTTCGACGCCCAGACAGAGAACGCGCTACGTGTGACTAAGATAGCTATTGTACAGTCTGCTAAACAAGTTATTTTAAATAGTTTTTAATATTTTTAGGTAATTAAATTTTAAAAGTGTGGAATAGTTTAGGGATTAAATTGGTCTGATTGGACTTTCTTAGAACGTTTTTAAAAGCAGCTAAAGATAGTATGTAGAATTTAAAATAATTATTATGCCATAAAAGGTGTTTCTGAAACATTACTAAAATTTTCGAAATTTTGTTTTTCTACAAAATAATAAACTATACTATTTAGAAAAAAATTTATTTCTCTTATAATTTTATAAAAAATAACAGGGGAATATTTACATTTCTTGATCTATTAAACAAAACGATAAATTATCTCGACGAATGACACCATGTTCTAGTACGGAAGCTAGCTTTACATTTTTGTTGATGGTTTCATGGGTTTCATATCAATTTTTTGTAATTGTAGTTTACACGTACATATACCTCTTAACACTTGTTTGCTTTATTAAAAAAGTGTGTTGTTGTGATTTACGTCGAAATAAGTCAAAAACAACTTGAAACCCAATATAAAATCAAAAAGGAGAAACGGAAAAAAATTGAGCATGTAAATGAACACAACTCAGAAACAAAAATAGCTATCTAATAATAAAAAAATAAAATTTGATTCTTGTGCAGCTTCATCTATATCATTAACTGTTTTTGGTTTTTTAATGGTTTTTCTTGGTGATGAAAATTCCGATATCTCACGGTTATCGATTCTTTTTTTCTCTCCAGAAATGCGGACGACAGTGTTTTTAGATACTCCTGTCGCTGCAGCAACACGATCATTTACATTTTTAAATGGTATTGAAGGTGAATTAAAGTTTCCTTCTCTTTTCATAAACTCTATAACATTGGCTATTATTTCGCGAGATTGACTGTTAATCACGCGGCCTCTTAATTTGCTATTAAACTCCATACTTAGGTTCTATTAAACTGTAATGAGCAAAAAACACAAACGAAAATAAAAAAAATGTTTTAGCGAAATTTACATCTGACATTTACGTCTGAATGAAATAGTGAAATACTTGATGCGCAGAGTGTACTTTCATTGCGTAAATCCGTCGGGATGCCTGTCAGTAGTGCTTTCTCTGTCTAGCCGTCGAAAGCCTCTAGAAATTTGATGAACTGTAACTTATTAAATTTGATTTAAAATACTTTTCATCCATTAAACAGACAGGTGAAGGTCGTTTCCCTACTCGGATCTTAGACTAAGAGGGCAAGGAGAAAATCCTACATGGAAACAAGCTAGAAGTGTACACATAACTGTTTTTAAATTTGGTACCAATTGTAAAATGCGACTAAAACATTGTTTTATAAAACATCTGGTTTATTCCACGCACATGGGAAATGAACATACAAGATATAGCTTAGAAAAAGAACAAATAGCCCTAAGTCAATTTTCAGAAATATTTATTGTACATGTCGAAAATTGTGGTTTTGTTCGTCGATCTGGATTTATGTTAATTTGGGGGCTAGTCCTAATGGTCTGGTAGGAACTGATTGTATAATTGAAATTAAATGCCCTGCTTCTGCTTCAAAGTTAACATCGCAAGATGCAATAAGGCAAAAAATATAAAATATGTAATAATTGACGACAATAATAATATACATGTGAAACAAAACCACAACTATTTCTACTAGGTCCAGGGCTAGCTTCATTAACAAAATAGGCAATGTTGTTTTTTCGTGATGTGGATCCCTCTGGGTTTTTTAGTGGAAAAAATTTATATGAATTATTGTGTTCTCCCAAAATTAATCGGTTCTCGTTTATAAGGGGGTTAGAAATACGAAACCCTCCTCGAAATGATGCTGAATAATGAGTAGTATAGATTGTAATAAATGTTACACATACAAATTGATTTTATTTTTATATAGCAATACATTTTGAGCAAGTAAAGTCTTGTTAAAAAAATATGTTAAATAAATATCCTTTATCTGTCGACAATCTCGTACATACCTGCGATTGTCTACATATAAGTTATTTACAATTATTGATTTTGTTTGCAATTAAATCATAATATTTTAATATCATTTTTAAAATAAATCTATATTTTTTATGTTTTTGATGCATGCTATTATTTTATATTTTCTGAAACTGGCGGTCATATTTCTACTTTATCTTAAACAAAAACAAGTCGATAGCTAGATTAGTTTACAATCTACGGTGATGTAAATAATAGTAATATTTAATAATTGCTAATTTTTGTTTTTTTTTCTTGTCATAAAAAATGTCTGACCTACATAGGTACTGAAAAATGTCTAAGTGGCCGTTTCATATACTACTAATTTTACATAATACTTACTCTGCGCCAATTTTTATCATCTCGAGCAATAAGCGACTTTTGTACTAAATTTTGCTCTACTAAAAACTAAAACGCACACCCGAATCCGGCTTGAATATCTCTCTCAGAGAAACATCCTACAGACATCGAGTGCGCGACGTTGCCAAATTGGATTGAGAGGTAAGTATTATTTAGCAGATTTGAAATCAGGGTTAGGAGCGTACTGGAGATAACGCTCTTAATTCCTCTATTAATGAACAAAATATACATTATTTTATTTTGAGATAGGCGACTGTAACTTACATATTTGGATAACTCTAAATTACATTATCCAAGATTTTCAATAACAAATAAAAAATGCTGTGTAATCTTGAACAAAAATCATAGTCTTTATTATTTCCTGTAAATATTTTGCAATTTTATCGTGAAGATTTTCTGGGAAATTTTTAGTAAACATGTTTCACACTATTATTGTAGACAACTGTATATGTGCCCTGTATTAAAAGTTATTAATGTAGAACAATTAAAGAGATAACACTGTTTCTAAACACGATATTGATAAAATGTTTACTGATTGAAATTATATATTTATTTTTAGACTAATTTTTGTGCTCGTTGTTTCTAAATTTGATTCGATGTGAATAAAATATTTATTTACCTTTAAGTAAACTTAAAATCCTTTGGAAATGTCTGTCGTTAACTATCCTTCCATAGTTCGTAGAAGATTTGATATCCTCTCCGTAAAAATCCGTCAGTATTTTCTTAGCAACCTTAACGAATTTATCTTCGACTTCTTTAGAGCAGAGTATGTAATCAGGAGCTACGCAAGTTTGTCCAGAATTCGCACATTTTCCCCATAATATTCTTTTTGCGGCTACTTCAATGTCAGCCGAACTATCTATATATACAGGACTTTTACCTAAAAGAAAAAGAATAACGTTAATAACTGAAACGCAAAACAGTATTTCAGTAGGTTTGCAAGAGATCAGTTTGTTTTTGAGGCTCTAAAAATTAGTGCCTCGATACTCCTGTTCTCTTGTTCTTCCACCAATGCCAACATGATATAAAAAATGAAGGTTTAGATAGTTTGCTAAAATGATAGAGGTCTAAGACTGTGTTAGAATGGAAAGGAAAACAAAAAGTAAAGCAGAAAGAAAAGGGAGACAAATGAAAGAAAAAAAAATAGTGTATTTCATTACGCGCCAAGAAACTAGACGATATTTTTCGTCAAAACTCTTTAAAAAAATATATAAAACCTAATATACACATATATAATAAACCATTTATTTTTTATTGATTGGTTTAATTATAATCCGAATATGTGTCTCTTTCTAACACATAATATTCGTACAGAAAATAATAATTAGCACGTTTTCTAATAGTCAAAGTTTAATTGGGTAGTAATTACCTAGAATTGTGGGACTTTGTCAATAAGTAAAAGTAATTATTTTTTATTAAGTACATATTTTTGTTGAGAAATAATATCTAGTACTATTTATAATAATTGTCTGTAAAACTTACACCTTATTTATCATAGATTCGTCAAATCATGATTTTTCTACGACTACAATGCAAACTACATGTTTTCAACTGTTGCTGATTAAAAAATGTGGTACATTTCCCTTTTTGATAATAATTCTGTATACAGGGTGTTTATAAATAAGTGCGAATGGTTTAAGGGTTAGTTGCCGAAGTCAGTGGCATTTTTTTTATTAAAAAAAAGTTGTAAATAGAAATATTCGGACCACCCCAAAAAAATGCACATTTATCCCTCGAAAGCGTTTTGTAAATTTGAAATCAATATCTTTAAAACTTTCTGGTCCTGGCCCTTCTATTGGCCTGACAATATCGGCAGTGACAGACCTAATTAAAGAAAATTCCTTTGTGAAATTCAAGGAAAGATGGGATGAAACAAGAAACTGCAGAGCCAGGAAGCTTTTAAGTTATACTGACAACACTACAGCAAACAAATAATTGACTATGACTAGACAAAATCTGCGCTTGCTCACAGGCATACTGACTAGTCATTGCCAAGTACGGAAGCATCTCCATATCATAAGGTTGTCGGAATCCGCACTCTACAGGGGCTGCGAACAAGAAGATGAGACCATAGAGCATATCCTCTACGATTGCCCGACGCTCTCATTTATTAAAAGATTTGTGTTCGGCGAGTATCGGCTAACACCGGCCGATATAAGAGAAGCACCTCTTGGCGACGTTGTCAAGTACATTAAATCTGTAGGCTGGCTCACGAGCTAGGAGGTGCCTATCACCTTAGGAGGATGCACAATGGGCCCAGTGCGGTAACCCACCCTCCACAAGTTACAGACAGTACCAAATTAGAATTTAGTAATAAAATACACTCATTCAAAATTAACAATAAATTTCTACATCTATAGCATATTAGATAATATATTTCAAAATAAGAATTTAATAAGAAAATACACTCATTCAAAATTAATAATAAATTTCGACATCTGTGGTATATGAGATAATATATTTCAAGATAAGAATTTAGTAATTAAATACAAAATGAATCACAATTTCAAAGATGTAGGAACTAGGTATATTCTATATAACTTTATTTGTAAAACTGTATGAAAAGTATAATGGGAAATTATTTTAATAGACTTTTAATTTAATAATAATGTATTTTCAAAATGTTTTTGTTCCGCGTTTTAATAATTTTAAACATATTCATTATGGATAAATAAAACAGATACCTACGTTAAATATGTTCATAGCCCAAGCAATGTGAAAAATTAGAATAAAGCTATAAATTGCTCCCGAGCTATCTAGCTTGCATTTTTTTGGGGTTATCTATTTGAAGAAAAAAAAATGATTATTTAAGAAATGGTTAGTCTGAAATGAAAAATTCCAGTATTCATCTAGATATTTGTGACAAAAAAAGCCGCGAGAGTAATAAAGTAATCTAGTAATTAGTTTTTTCTACACCCACATGGATATTAGCTTATCTACGCACATATTACAAAACGAAAAAGTATTCTATTGCCCTCAATTGTACGAATATATTTTATATCCATTCTAGGTAGTGAGAACACTGTAAAAAAATTAAATCCACCAACAGTTCATATTTTGATCAACCGACTGTTATTATTTTTAAAATTTTAAATAAGTATCAATTGTGTCAAATTAATTGTCAGTATATTTTTTAGTTATTGAGATTAAACATACATTAAAATGAGTTATTCTTGTGTAGAATCGATAAATAATAAAATTTCTATTTTTATTTCGTCTATAATTATAAATAATTTGATAATTTAAATAAAACTATATGAAGTCAATTTAATTACGAGTATTAAAGCAAAAAAATTAACGTGTAGATGGTCCTGTGGTCAGTGTCCTTGCCTTCCATACGGAAGACTCGAGTTCAAATATCAGATGGAGGAAAATTAAGTAATTTTTCCTTTTTTTTTTCTTATTTATTTTATTTTATAAATTAGTAGAAGTCAAAAATTATTTTTAAATTAATTATTTTATCTTAATAACCTAAAATAATTTTTAATATTTGTAGATTTTCGTTAGTGGGTCATAGAAAAAATATACTATACAACTCGAGTGGATTGGCCATATCGCACTTAGATGATTGAGGCTACGGCGTCGTGCTCTAACTTCGTCTTCGTGCGTCTGGACTGATCAGACTTCCAATTGTGATACAGACAATCCAATCGAGTTCTACAGAATATTTTTTCTACAGCCGACTAACGAAAATCTACAAAATGTAAAAAATTGATTTAGAGGTTATTAACAGATAAAATAACTATTTTAAAGATAATTAACACAAAAATTTGAAATTATTAAGTTTACTAATAAAATAAAAAAAATGGCTTCAGCCAGGAATCGAACCCCGATCCTTGGTTTTTTTTTTATGGCTTCAAATGTTTTATTGAATTGATTTTAGACAGTTTTACTAAAATTTACAGTTTTTACTGGGGTTATTTATCGATTCTTCGCAAGAATCGCCCATTTTTAAATATATTTTATTTTAATAACTAAAAAATACTGACAATAATTAGTTAGACATAATTTTCACTTATTTGAAATTTAAAAAGGAATAGCAGACCGGTCACCAAATAAACTGTTTAAAGAATTTTATATCCGTTTATCTACGCACAGACTACAAAACGGTAGTGAGAACACTGCAAAAAAATGAAATCCACCAATCACAGTTCATATTTTGGACACCTAACTACTATTATTTTTAAAATTTTAAATTATTGCAAACTGACAGTATATTTTTTAAATATTGCGATTAAATATACATTAAAATGAGTTATTTTGGTGTAGAATCGATAAATAATAGCATTTCTATTTTTTTTTTGTCCACATTTTATTCAAACTATATAAAACTAATTTAATTACGAGTATTAGAACTAAAATCCAAAATTTGGTGGTAAACGCGAAAGACCCGAGTTCGAATTTCAGCTAGGTACCTCGCTAGGGACTAATAAAATTAAATTTTATTTTTAAGTTTATTTTATTTTATAAATTAGTAAAAGTCATAAATAATTTTTACTTTCCTATCTGTATACAGATATAAGGAAAGTATAGGAATCATGATTTTTTTCGACCTCGAGTTTTCGACGGATTTTTACGTTTTGAGGTCCCCTGAATCCGTTTTGACTATTTTCGCGATGATGTCTGTGTGTGTGTGTGTGTGTGTGTGTGTGTGTGTGTGTGTGTGTGTGTGTGTGTGTGTGTGTGTGTGTGTGTGTGTGTGTGTGTGTGTGTGTGTGTGTGTGTGTGTGTGTGTGTGTGTGTGTGTGTGTGTGTGTGTGTGTGTGTGTGTGTGTGTGTGTGTGTGTGTGTGTGTGTGTGTGTGTGTGTGTGTGTGTGTGTGTGTGTGTGTGTGTGTGTGTGTGTGTGTGTGTGTGTGTGTGTGTGTGTGTGTGTGTGTGTGTGTGTGTGTGTGTGTGTGTGTGTGTGTGTGTGTGTGTGTGTGTGTGTGTGTGTGTGTGTGTGTGTGTGTGTGTGTGTGTGTGTGTGTGTGTGTGTGTGTGTGTGTGTGTGTGTGTGTGTGTGTGTGTGTGTGTGTGTGTGTGTGTGTGTGTGTGTGTGTGTGTGTGTGTGTGTGTGTGTGTGTGTGTGTGTGTGTGTGTGTGTGTGTGTGTGTGTGTGTGTGTGTGTGTGTGTGTGTGTGTGTGTGTGTGTGTGTGTGTGTGTGTGTGTGTGTGTGTGTGTGTGTGTGTGTGTGTGTGTGTGTGTGTGTGTGTGTGTGTGTGTGTGTGTGTGTGTGTGTGTGTGTGTGTGTGTGTGTGTGTGTGTGTGTGTGTGTGTGTGTGTGTGTGTGTGTGTGTGTGTGTGTGTGTGTGTGTGTGTGTGTGTGTGTGTGTGTGTGTGTGTGTGTGTGTGTGTGTGTGTGTGTGTGTGTGTGTGTGTGTGTGTGTGTGTGTGTGTGTGTGTGTGTGTGTGTGTGTGTGTGTGTGTGTGTGTGTGTGTGTGTGTGTGTGTGTGTGTGTGTGTGTGTGTGTGTGTGTGTGTGTGTGTGTGTGTGTGTGTGTGTGTGTGTGTGTGTGTGTGTGTGTGTGTGTGTGTGTGTGTGTGTGTGTGTGTGTGTGTGTGTGTGTGTGTGTGTGTGTGTGTGTGTGTGTGTGTGTGTGTGTGTGTGTGTGTGTGTGTGTGTGTGTGTGTGTGTGTGTGTGTGTGTGTGTGTGTGTGTGTGTGTGTGTGTGTGTGTGTGTGTGTGTGTGTGTGTGTGTGTGTGTGTGTGTGTGTGTGTGTGTGTGTGTGTGTGTGTGTGTGTGTGTGTGTGTGTGTGTGTGTGTGTGTGTGTGTGTGTGTGTGTGTGTGTGTGTGTGTGTGTGTGTGTGTGTGTGTGTGTGTGTGTGTGTGTGTGTGTGTGTGTGTGTGTGTGTGTGTGTGTGTGTGTGTGTGTGTGTGTGTGTGTGTGTGTGTGTGTGTGTGTGTGTGTGTGTGTGTGTGTGTGTGTGTGTGTGTGTGTGTGTGTGTGTGTGTGTGTGTGTGTGTGTGTGTGTGTGTGTGTGTGTGTGTGTGTGTGTGTGTGTGTGTGTGTGTGTGTGTGTGTGTGTGTGTGTGTGTGTGTGTGTGTGTGTGTGTGTGTGTGTGTGTGTGTGTGTGTGTGTGTGTGTGTGTGTGTGTGTGTGTGTGTGTGTGTGTGTGTGTGTGTGTGTGTGTGTGTGTGTGTGTGTGTGTGTGTGTGTGTGTGTGTGTGTGTGTGTGTGTGTGTGTGTGTGTGTGTGTGTGTGTGTGTGTGTGTGTGTGTGTGTGTGTGTGTGTGTGTGTGTGTGTGTGTGTGTGTGTGTGTGTGTGTGTGTGTGTGTGTGTGTGTGTGTGTGTGTGTGTGTGTGTGTGTGTGTGTGTGTGTGTGTGTGTGTGTGTGTGTGTGTGTGTGTGTGTGTGTGTGTGTGTGTGTGTGTGTGTGTGTGTGTGTGTGTGTGTGTGTGTGTGTGTGTGTGTGTGTGTGTGTGTGTGTGTGTGTGTGTGTGTGTGTGTGTGTGTGTGTGTGTGTGTGTGTGTGTGTGTGTGTGTGTGTGTGTGTGTGTGTGTGTGTGTGTGTGTGTGTGTGTGTGTGTGTGTGTGTGTGTGTGTGTGTGTGTGTGTGTGTGTGTGTGTGTGTGTGTGTGTGTGTGTGTGTGTGTGTGTGTGTGTGTGTGTGTGTGTGTGTGTGTGTGTGTGTGTGTGTGTGTGTGTGTGTGTGTGTGTGTGTGTGTGTGTGTGTGTGTGTGTGTGTGTGTGTGTGTGTGTGTGTGTGTGTGTGTGTGTGTGTGTGTGTGTGTGTGTGTGTGTGTGTGTGTGTGTGTGTGTGTGTGTGTGTGTGTGTGTGTGTGTGTGTGTGTGTGTGTGTGTGTGTGTGTGTGTGTGTGTGTGTGTGTGTGTGTGTGTGTGTGTGTGTGTGTGTGTGTGTGTGTGTGTGTGTGTGTGTGTGTGTGTGTGTGTGTGTGTGTGTGTGTGTGTGTGTGTGTGTGTGTGTGTGTGTGTGTGTGTGTGTGTGTGTGTGTGTGTGTGTGTGTGTGTGTGTGTGTGTGTGTGTGTGTGTGTGTGTGTGTGTGTGTGTGTGTGTGTGTGTGTGTGTGTGTGTGTGTGTGTGTGTGTGTGTGTGTGTGTGTGTGTGTGTGTGTGTGTGTGTGTGTGTGTGTGTGTGTGTGTGTGTGTGTGTGTGTGTGTGTGTGTGTGTGTGTGTGTGTGTGTGTGTGTGTGTGTGTGTGTGTGTGTGTGTGTGTGTGTGTGTGTGTGTGTGTGTGTGTGTGTGTGTGTGTGTGTGTGTGTGTGTGTGTGTGTGTGTGTGTGTATAACGCATAACTCATGAACCGATACACGGAAAAACACCAAATTTCAAACTTAAGCTTTGTTCCAGCGTCTAATGAGCTGATTAGATTTTGGGCAGAGTCGGAACATCTGGGGGGGTACTTTATAGGTGGTCATTTTTATATTTTATGGAATATATCTGTTATTTACGTTTAGGGAAGAAAATTCTTCAAATGAAAGTTACTTCTTATTTTATTATCTATAATTTTTGTTATATACAAAATTTTCCTAAAATGATCCGTATTCGCGAAATTTGACAAAATGTAAAAAAATATTTTTTTTTATAAAAATTGTTTAAACAAAAGTTGTTTGTAATATAATTCTCTATAATTTTTATTTTATAGATAATTTCTCTAAAATGGACCGTATTGAAGATATTTGAGAAAATGTGTAAATTTCGAAATTTGAAGAAAACTCAAAAACGGATAAAGAAAAAAACATTAAATTTTAAACTTAAGTTTTATTTCGGCCTGACGTGAAATGATTAGATTTTGGACAAAGTCGGAACATCTAGGGGGGTACTTTATGGGAGGCCGTTTTTATATTTTATGGAATATATCTGTTATTTATGTTTGGAGAAAAAAATTGTTCAAATAAAAGTTACTTCTAATATTATTATCTATAATTTTTCCTTTATGTAAAAATTTCCTGAAATGGTCCGTATTCGAAAATTTGACAAAATGTGCAAAATTCTGATTTTTATGAAAATTGATGAAATAAAAGTTGTTTGCGATATCGATCTCTATAATATTTGTTCATACATGATTTTTTAAAATGGACCGTAATGGAAAAATTGTAGGAAAAGTGCTAAATTTAAATGTTTCAGTATTTTCATTTTCAAAGAATATCTATAGAAAAATGTTTCGCGGTAGATGTATGTGGACAATGTATATATTTAGTTTATCCCCTAAACATTTATAGAGATGCTGCAATAGGTTGTACAAAATAACCGGAAAATGCCTATAATAACTAGATAGGAAAGTCATGTGTTGGACACATCAGATTTTTATTTTAAAATTAGTTATTTTGTCTCAATTTTTTTTTTAATTTCTAGATTTTGGTAAGTCGGTCGTAGAAAAGATATATTATACAACTCGAGTAAATTGTCCATATCCACTCTTGTGGCACAAACTATTATCTATTTGCTAACCAATCAAAAAAAATCATAATCATTTCGAGTCACTCGGTATAAGAAGAACTAATTGCATGAATATTTATGAAATATTTTAAAATAAATTGTATTAGGCCAGAAATTTTATTACTTGCGCAAGGTCAACTAATTCTTTAGTGATTTTGAATCGCATACCACTCGGATGCTTGTCTAGATTTTTTGGAGATAAATTTACATTTCTAATAAAAAGCAATGAAGTTTAAAAATCAGACCTACTTGTTCAGATGGTAATGATGTATTGTCAGCCTTGAAATCTACTATTAACCATAACGTGTTTTTAAAATCTTAGGATCTTAGTCATGATTTACATGTATATAATATTTTTTTAAAGAAAATAGTTACTGCTTTAATACAATAATTATACCGACAGGCGTGGAAAATGCTAAGCTACTTACTTACATATTCACTACAGCCAAACTATTAACTGAATAAATAAAAGAATAAAAGATATTATAGTAAACTCTCTCATAGCAGCAGCATATTCCAGATATTTTTTTTTCGAGCCATTAAACCATTATGTTTTTATATTAACTAGCTATAACGCTACTTGGATGTTTATGTTTCGCACATTAGCCACTGCTAACCGATTAGAACCAGTCATTCCTCACAATTCACCATTTTAAAGTTAAGTCTAGAAAGCAAAGCTTTGTGCGTAGAAGGAACTTCTATTATTAGTTATTGCACCCCAGGAAAACTTTCAAGTAATCAAGTAATCAGTTAATGGCCAAGAAAATTGAGGATACAAAAAGCGACTTAACAAAAAAAGTGGACTAACAGATAAGGCCTGGAGTAAATACATGGGCTCCAAAAAAAGACCAACATCAACAATAAAGTGAAGTAAAAACTGACCCAATAAAAAAAGTACCTACTATAGATAAGGAAAATAAACTTAAGATTGAAGAAGCAAGTGCCAGCAAAGAAAAGGTGAATGACCTCTCAACAAAACAAACAAATAAATACAGGGCTGGAACTAGATCATCAAACTAAAATAATGAACGATATAATTCATATTGATGGAGAGAATGGAGAGGACGATGACATAAATGAAGGATTTACAGAAATTACATACAAAAAACGGGGTTTTCAAAAAGACAAAGAGCTGAGGAAAAAGACCATAGGAGTGAACGAAACAAAGGATTTTGGAGTGGAGAAGAAGGTATGGCTGTATCTATACAGACTGCAGCGTCATGTCACCGAAGATAAAATCTTACAATATCTAAAAAACATCACTCATTTCAAAAATGCTAATATCTACATCAAAGAACTACCAACACCAAAAACACAAAATAAATGCTTTATGTATTAGCTCTCATGTATTTGTCTCGGCGCAAATTTGTCGCGCGTATAATTGTTTCGCGCTAAAATGTGTTGGATCCTAAAAGGCGAAAGAAATGGAGCTACACTTCAAACATTCTAGTTGGGACAGTATTTGATACGTATTATTTGAATGAATTAAATTAATTATAAAAACATCTTGCTCATTACGCACTAGTTTGTCCTTGCGCCATTTTGTCCTTGCGTCATTTTGTCCTAAGCTATTTTGTCCTTGTGATATTTTGTCTGCGCCATTTTTTCCTGCGTTGTTTTGTCATGGAACCGTATTTATGCAATTATCTCATTACTACTTGTACTTTAGTTGCCAGACGCTGCGCTTTAGGCGTGATTAAAACGTTTTTCCACTTGCTGCTACGCGCCACGCCAAAGTACCCAAATGCCTCGCTTTTTAAATTAAAATTAGAACAAAATTATAATTGTTGTTCAACCCGATAACGCTGCAAGTCAGTCAAAGGAAATGCGGATGCACTAAGGTCAAGCACCGAATGTTATTTTATCGTCATTTATTGACGTCTACATTTTTATAAGAGTAAGAGTTTATATTATATAAAAAGGTTTTTTTTTAAACTAAAAAAGTCTTATACATTTGTATTTTCCAACTCGGGAAAAATATCAATAATATTGTTCCTAAAACTTTTATGCATGTTTTTTCTGTTTCAAAAGTATAACACGAAATACGGTGTGAGGTACAAACATAGGTACCTCAGGTCGCGTTTTATTTTTTTATAAAAATTATAAGATGTTTTTTAGTAAATCACTGAAAAATATATTAAGAAAGTGGACGTCTGTACCCCACACCGTACGACGATGGTTGACAGTGGTTCCCTATAGGAGCCTTGAGGATCATCAGAACCTATTTCAAGCTAATTCGATAAATAACCTATTTTTACAATATGTTTATTATTACTGGTGTGAAAACATGTTTTGAAACTAAAACTTGAAAGTTTCATTGGAAGAATATCATGGCGAATTTTATCAAAGGCAACAGTAACATAATAATTTAAATTTTCTAAATTTGCCTTACATAGAGTTTAAAGTGAGTTTTTAAATTTTCAAAATTTGCCTTATATACCTAGTTAATTTTTTGATTTTAAAAGATTACATACCGAGATATTTTGAATGTAATTTTTTTGTGACATACCACTATTGGTAAAAATACCAGAGATAAAAATAGAATTCTCACGATTTTCAAAATGGATATATTATTTCTTCATCTTGGTAACCATTTTATCTTGTTAAAATTGTTATTAGTAACAGTTTAAATGGATTAAAAGTATTATGCAAATAGATTTTTCACTATTTTAAGTATGTTATTCAAATTAAAGGACAGGTATACCTAATTATAATTAATCCCTACTAGTCATTTTTTAATATTAGATTTATTTTACAACACAAAATTTAGAAGTAGTTTATATCTTACAGTGTAGACATTAATTATAGTTGCAGCACATAACAAAATAGAATATATAGCTAAAAGGTAAGACTCAATTATTTTACTTTGTGTACATTTTGTTAGTTAATTTATACATTACGTTAATACAATTTAAAAATGAACTAATTATTTTCACGTTTGTTACATTAAAAATATTTTTAAAGTGCAATTTATTTTAAATTTGATAAAAAAGAATTTATTCAATACCTACATTGTACAATTAGCTATAACAATGCATTGGAATCATTAATCATAAGTATTTACTTAAAAAAATCAATGAAGGTCTTTAGTTTTTTTAGTAACAAACTGGTATTAGAAAGCTATTATTTTTTAATATTCGCAGGCATAAATGGTTAATAAAATAATTACAAATAAATCGCGGATACTATTCAACTGCTCAAATATGGCCATCTTCGTAAAAGACAAAATAATACTCAAAATATGTAGCACATTCATTTTAATACTAAATTTAAAAAAAAACGCCGCCGGTTTCGATCCAAGGGTAATCATCAAGCCTAAAGAGGAAGGGTAATAAATAAAATTTTATAAACTTTAAGCTTAAAAATTGTTACAAACCTTAGTAAAGAAAAAATCAAAAATTGGGGTTACAAAGTTGAACACACAAAATCATAGCAAAATAATGCAAGTAAAAATTAAATAAATATAATATAAATTAACTAAACCCAAGATACTGAGCAACAAGTGGCGTAGCCAGCCATTTTTCATGGGAGGGGTTTTTGAGAACGATGGCAGGGAGTTCCATCAAGAAAGTGAATAAATACAAACAGTCAATAGTGATCAGCGCCATTCCATTAGCGAAAATGGTGACGCAAGGACTATCCATGGGGGGAGGGGTTCTGACACCTAAAACCCCCCGTGGCTACGCCCCTGTGAGCAATATATCTATCTTTCTTAGTAAGGTTTAATATTATTACATTTTTTAGAAGTGCTTTAGATTACTATGGTGTACAAGTAATCTGTACTATGTGAACTATTTGTATATTTGAGACTATTAATAGGGGTAGATTATTAATGAAATTAAGAGCTATTGGTTTGGGGGTTGTGTACAGGACTGGTTGGGTCATTATATACAAAATAGGAAACAGAAGGTTAAGGTAAGTAATTATGTTTCAGATACTATAAAGAATAATATGGGGTGCCACGGCGTAGTGTTCTAGGTCCGCTACTGTTTTTAATTTATATTAATGGCATTGCTGGTGTAGTCGAAAGATGCTCAATACACTTATTTGCAGATGATACACTGATATATTTTACCCATGAAAACACTGAAACTTGTTAAAGAAATTAATAGTTCTATGAGTAAAATATATGATTATTGTAACGGAAACTCATTGAAAATAAATTACGAAAAGACAAAGTGGATGTTAATTGGGGGTACTTGAAATTTACAAAAATTAAATGTAGCATCACAGTGTGTTTCTGTTGATGGAATAAAGTTTCAGAGCATTGAAAAATTTAAACATCTAGGGGTTATGGTTGATACAAATTTACAATTTAAGGAACATGCTAATAACGTCATCAAAAGCATATCATTTAAAATAAACTATTTGAGGCGCTGTTCTCCACATCTCAGAAAATGGGCTAAAATAATTTATAATGCTTCAATATTACCTCATTTTAATTATTGTGCCACTATATTGTATTTGCTCAACCAGAATGAGTTGCAACGATTGCAAAAGTTGCAGAGTAGAGGTATGAGGATAATACTGAGCTGTTCGAGATTGGAACCAATCAATTCCATGTTGAATGTGCTTCAGTGGTTGCCTGTTAAACATATTTGCTATTCTATTCCCTGCTATTTATATTTAAGATTAAATCAGGACTCTCCCCAGATATTCACAAAATATTTTAAGTTACCTATAATCAGGATGTTCATAAACACAATACATGAAATAAGAAAAAATTTAGAGTTTATAAGGCCACAAAAAAATGTACACAAAATTCAGTGTTTTTTAAAGGTGTACAGGCTTTTAATAATTTGCCTGAAGATATTAAATGTTCTTTAAATGCAGCAATATTTAAAAGAAAACTGCATGAGTACTTGCTGATCAATTGACGTTTTTTTTTCTTCTTTCTTTCTTGTTCTTTTATTGTTTTGTATAGTTGACATGTAAGTGTATTATATCTTATGTATTTTTTATTGTATTTTAAATGTATGTTGATTTTATACTCATGTATTTTTTATATTTTAAATGTAAAGATGTATTGACATGTAAAAAAATAGTTTTTTTGACTAAATAAACGATTTATATATGTAACCTGAGATGTAACCTGTAAAGCATTTTATTATAAAGTTTCGCATATGTGTTATAGCAGAAGATATGCCATTTTTCGGAGGAGACATAAAACTGTTGGCCCTGAGTCCAGAGGTGTTTGTAATTAATAAATTATGATTTCAGGTTTGTAAGTAATGTTTACACGTATTGAAGATGTAATTTCTCGCAAACCTTAGTAAACAGTTTCATGGGTAACATGGTTGTAGGTATTTCTGCAGCAGGAACAGTATGAAAAAAATAGAATAACAATTCCATGTTCACATTTGAAATAATTGATCTGAGGGAGGTTCCTCATAAACGAAACGTTGTGTTACCGATTTGAATAGATAATTTTTAAGTACTTACTATTCAAACAAAAAAATATTATAGATAATCCCAAAATAAAGAGATTTTTATTTTATCATGTTTTCATCGAAAATTTTATTACCAAAGGTTTTATTTAAATTATTATTAAACAGAAATAAAAGGAATTACCTCTGGAAGTACCTAGCAGTACTTGCCCTGACATTACTTGACACTACCAAGTAATATTCAGAATAAATGAAGTAATGCCTCAATTTGGCAATAAATGTATGTTTTCTTGTAGAGTGGAGGACCTCATAGTTTTCATTCTTTTTCATTTAGTGTGCTATAAAAGAACTTCTGTGTTTTTAATTGTAGATTTCAAACTTCCCAAAGACTAAAGAAGATGGTATGGTCAAATAGAAAGAACGTAGGATGACTCCAGATGAGTCAATAATGAAAAAGAAGAGCTGAAAGACAAAAATGGAAGACCAAGATAGAAACCTAATACCAACCTAGCAGTACTTGCACCGACATTACTTGGCACTACCAAGTAATATTCATATTCGGAATAACCAAAGTAATGCCTCAATTTGGCAATACATGTATGTTTTCTTGTAGAGTGAAAGACCTCTTGGTTTTCATTCTTTTTCATTTAGTGTGCTATACAAGAACTTTTGTGTTTTTAATTGTAGATTTCAAACTTCCCAAAGACTAAAGAAGATGGTATGGTCAGATATAAAGAATGTAGGATGACTCCAGATGAGTTAATAATGAAAATGTTAAGAGCTGGAAGAAGAAGAAGAAGATGGAAGAAGAAGAAGATGGAAGACCGAGATAGAAACCTAATACCAACCAAATAATGTCAGATTATTAAATACAAGTAGGTATGGGAATTTGAGGATAAAAAATGAAAATGAATAGGAAATAATAGGGGACAATAATAAATCTGGAAAGAAAAAAAAAATAACAACAAAGCAGTAAGAATCCAACTTCTTAATACTTAAAGCATTTTTCATGTTTTGAGTAAGAATATACTTATGGCGCTAACAAGACATGCTTAGCTGCCAGAAGGCCTTTCATAAAATATATTAAAAATTTCTCTGATTTATTGATTTACAGGTCAGTCGATTTAGGTTACAATCCACATTTTTAATTACTTTAAATTTGTATGTAAAAAACATGGACAGGTTTGCAAGTGGATATAAACATTGTTTATAAACTAACAGAATGCATATACCCATGTAACTAGGGTCACCCCCATCAATCTTAAGAATAATATAATTAATTATTAATAGGTACCTACTATATAGACATTCATATCACAAAGTGACCTATCTCACTTTTCCTAATTTTACAGAAGAGCAATTTAAAGTTTTGTGCTGCGTTTGAGTAAGAAGATATGTCCCTAAAGACTAAAGGAAGGTTTTTTTTATTATTACGCACATAAGGTTACAGCTTGAGTAACGCCACTTTGTGAGAAGGAAGATATATAAAAATTAAGTGTTTCTACAGTTGTATCTTAATATTATATTACTTATTAGATATTCGAACCACTAACATACCTTATAACAAACATGTGAAAAATTACTTACCACCTAGTTCCAGAGTCACAGGTGTTAAATGTTTAGCAGCTGCCTCTAGGATAACTTTTCCTACTGACGAAGACCCTGTGTAAAAAATATAATCGAACTTCTGCTTAAGCAATGCTGTTGTTTCAGGTATGCCCCCTTCAAACACTTGATAAGCTTCACTATCCAAATATTGAGGAATATACTCGGCTAAAAATTTTGACGTAGCAGGTGATAATTCAGATGGTTTCAACAAAACTGTATTTCCAGCAGCAATAGCTCCTAGAAAGGGATTTAGGGCTAGCTGCAAGGGGTAATTCCAAGCCCCTAATACAAGGACAACTCCGTAAGGATCATGTAAAATGTACACAGAATCCAAAACATTAGCTAAACTTTTGGAAGGCCGTTCCGGTTTCGTCCAATCGTGAATATGCATTAAAATATATTTGATCTCATTTTTTACTACATCTATTTCCATTATTATGGACTCTATCTCGCATTTGTTCAAATCCTTTGTAAGAGCTTCTACTATCAATGGTGTATTTTCATCCAATAACTTTGCAAGAGCTTTTAATTGCTTGATTCTAAAATTTACGGACTTTGTTTTACCGCTAGCGAAGGTATTACGAAGTTTATTAACAACATGTTCTGGATTTGATTGCACCATATTTAATAAAATGTTAGTTTTTTGATTGATGAACAGCTGAATGTATCACACTATTTCAAAAAACTTATTTCGCTTTTTACGGACTTGTTAACACTTCAATTTTGAACCACGAACAACACCTCACAGTGACAAACCCCTACCAATGACAAACTATTTTAAATTTCTTATATTTCTATTTACATTTATTTACATTTTATTTGACATTTTGACATTCAAGAGGTAAACAATCTTTATTTCCTTTCAGTTTCAAGGTTAAAAAGAGATAGGCGTTACTGGGTAGACATGGGTAACGCAGCGCTGCGTTGCGTTATTGCGTTAACGCAGTTGTATGCGTTACGAGCGTTGATACACCAGCTGTTACTGTATCAGCGCAACGCAATTTTCGATACTGAGTCGAAAGACTGGGCGATACTTGCTTCATTTTAGATGTGGAGTTTCTATGTTCCTAAATATAGGCAACACTTTTTACAATAAATATCTTCTACGGTCACTATCCATTTTAGTCCGGGAGGAAATGACAGATTTCAATAAACCATTTTCACAAGCTTCATGTTTTATATAGGAATTATTTAAATAGCATCTAACAGTAAAATCATCGTCTTCCATTCCAGTTGTACGACATGGGGTTGCGGAAGGGTTGCAATTCCAGTAAAATAATGGGCCATGTTCACATGTGAGATATGCTGTTTTATAAATTATATTGTAATAGTTAGTCGCTATACAAGTTATTCTAAATAGTCAGTTCGTTAAAAAAGCCAAAAGTTTTTAAATTAAGCCCAATTGAAATTTAAAATTTGAAATTATACGTCATCGGGAATAGACCAATCATCTTGTGTCGAAGTTTTTTTTGTTATACAAAACCAAGCCAACGAACAAACCGACAAACAGAATGTCGAAGTGAACGCACATCTAAGTGACATTAAAATTGAACCACCTAACCTTAGTTTTTTGTTTTGGTTTAATTTTAGGCCGTGACTAGCCACACGTTAACCTGCCGCGAGTGCCCCGATCCTGAAAAATTAGCCACACGTAAAACGTCACTCATGACGTCATGGTTTGTTTACTTCTCGAATCTCGATACATATAATACATAACCTTACTATTCAAGTATTCAATTACCGTTTTTATGTGCTGATGTAGTTTGTTGCAGAATTTTACATAATATTAACATAATATCTTGATTTATTTGTAAAATGTGTTTACAATAACGAGGATTGCAAGTAGAAATTGCCAAACCTTAAACGGAGGTAAATTGTAAATTACTTTTTACAATTTATATACAAAACATTGCAACAAATATCAGGCTTTCCATTAGTAAAATTTCGAACTTTTTACTCATCTCAATTAAAATATGGATCGAACGGGCTAAAGAACAAGGAGTGTTTTGCATGCATGGGCATGAACTCAGGATATAAGATTTCTGAATGCACATGATCATCAACATTTGTAAAAAAAGTGTTACATAAATTAACAATATTTTTACCATAAGTATTTTTTCTTTGTTTATGCAAGATTTAGAGGTATTTTTATTTATATATTTTATTTTGAAAGTATTTTTCTTTGCTTCTTTAATAAAAGTCTTCTTAATTTAGTTCTATATTTTATAAATCTATTTTTTCATTACAAGTTTGCAGTTTTTTATTTTAATGTAAAGTTCCCCTTTTTAATTAGTAATAGATTCCATGAGCCCATAATACAAAATATTCTTTGTTTTATCTTTATTGTACTAGTATTGTTCTGGACTAATTTTATTTTAATATCTACCTATATACCTTTTCGAGATTTTTTTTAGAAAAATTCAACTTTAAAAAATAGTTTATGATAAACAATAATTTGTTATTTCTAAAGAATGTAGCTACATTTTTTACTTTCCTGTTTAAGTAAGAAAAGTATAAGAATTGTGATTTTTTTTTTTTCGACCTCGAGTTTTCGATTGATTTTTGTTTTTGGGGTCCCTTGAATCAGTTTTTCCCATTTTTGCAATGATGTATGTGTGTCTTTATCCACAATAACTTAAAAGTAGATAAAGAGAACTTAGGATTTAATCCATTTTATGGAGAGCTGACTAGATTTTGAGCATAGTCTTAGCATTGGAGATACTTTATAGTGGTAATGTTTCTACATTAAGGTATACTTCTGTTATTTATGATTATAGAAAAAAATTCTTTCAATAAAAGTTGTTTGTGATGTAATTTTCTATAATTTTTCGTTATATAGTTTATCTAAAATATACTGTAATAAATAAATATGAAAAAATTGCTAAATTTGAATTTTTAAGTATTTTCATTGGCAATGAAAATATCTTTTAATTCATATTCTGAACAGTTTTTGATTAGATGGACCGTACTCAAAATATTTTTAATAACTTTACAGGAAAGTCATGTACTTATGTGTTGGGCACATCATATTTTTTTGTCTTATCTCAAAGATTAGTTACTGGTAAGATAGGACAACCTGCATATTTACTTGAAAGTTTTAACATAAACCTAGTTTGAAGTGTAAATACAATAATAGGTTTGATGTCAGGCTTTATAGAAACATTTACACAATAAGCCTCTAAAATCAGTACCTACTTATGTTAACATTAAGTTGCCAAATCTTCTAAAGTAAAAACCAAACCGACTGTTTATCAGAGAAGTCTGTAGGACTGGCAAGATTGTAGATGATTACTAATAATTTCAATCAAACCAAATCATGGACTAGAATTTGCAGGGCTACATTTACATTATATTAATCTTTTCTGAATGTGCTATCTTAGCATTATTAATATTTACTTATCTTTTGTTCTAAACCTAGAAGGTTGAGATAAATAAAAATAAATAAAATACCTTCAGTTATCTTTGTTTCCTTCTATTATTTCATTACAAATCTGGAAAATGAGCTAACTGGATAAATCTATGAAATTAAGTTATCTTCATCACAAGTAGAACAAATAAGGTAAAATAAGTACCCGAGACAAAATTTGAAATAGTCAGCTAAGACTGAGATGTACTGCAAACTAACTACTCCTAAAAACTGCTTTGTTTCAACTCTCAACCAATAATCAAAGTAAAAACTTAGTATGGGATAAAATTTTAAATTATTCAATTTTAAAATTTTGATCATTAGTATTTGAATGATCTCCTTTTAATATGTATGTGAGTTGAGATTTTTCTACTACTGTGGCAGGTATATTTTAAAAAACCAAGCAATTTTAAAATCAAATCACCATGACTAGGAGAATCATCAACAGTGATTTATTTGTAATTTTTGTAAATGAGATTAATAAAATATTAATATTACATTAATCAGATATTTTCCAATATTTCGTATTTGTAAATAGGGCATTTGATTTAATACAGCTTACTTACATAAGGAGTTTATTATGTGTTAACAAAAAGAAAACGTATCTCAAGAGCTAGAAACTATGTTATTGTGTATTATTAGAGAAGGTTGTCTTATTCTTCCACTTTCTTTTCTTTAAAATATGCAATTCCACAATTTAATTCGAGTTCTATATCGTTTATTATGCTCATTAGTAGACCTCTACCCAAACAAAATAAGCCAAATTAAAAATTGATTGATAACTACAAAACTAACCTAAAGACAACTGTCATACTGCGAATTCTGTGACGTCACATCCATGACGTCACTACCATGATTTTTAACGTGTGGCTAGCCACGGCGTTAATTTTATTATTAATATGAAAATGAGCTGGATTTATAAAAGTTGAATCAAGTGTTTTACCCATTGTAAACGAAAATATGATTACCGAGATGATTACTGCATTTTTTAACAATACTCAGTTTACAAAATTCAGAAAGGTAAGACTTTGTTTTAATAGTAGGTAGTTACAGTTTATATGGAGCAAGTAAAACATATTTATCTCCGGTTTTATTTTTAGATCTGCCAAGCAAGAATATGGGGATAATTTCTTTTTCCATAAGAGAGAAGGAGACAAATTACACCTAAACATAAAGTACGGCAAAAACCTTCTGATGAGGTTGTTGTAATTAACAAAAATGAAATTTTTAGTGCACAATATACTTAGGAAATGCTGCATGTCAAGGTTTGTAATATTTATTATGCTTTTTTGTTTTTATATTACATATAATAAACAGTGTATAAGGCCCTTTATTCCTATAAATATTTTTTTTCTAATTTTGACATATAGACATTTTTTGTAATCGCAGCAAGTGTTAAAATAATCTAGAAACAGATTTTGTTAGTGAACCTAGTAATAATTATGATACCAAAGAATGCTGCAGAGCACCTATGAAATTTTGAGTTAAAAAATATGCCATATTTTTAGGCTATTTTTATACCCTTTTCAAAAATTTTATGCTCCTCGTTTTTTGCAAAACTTAAAATGCTCTATAGCTTCGAACGAAGTCAGCAAAGCACCTCTGTTTTATAAAGTTTTTTCTTTAAAAACAGCAACACCATATATTTATGCACTCGAAATATTATATTTTTAAAAATACATGGTGCTTGCTAACCTTCGAAAGAAGCCAGCAGAGCAATTCGGTTTTTTAAAGCTTTTTTCTAAAAACCACACCCCATTTTTAGAATATTTTTAGACTCTTGAAATATTGTAAAACTTTACTAAAAAAATTGCTATTTTTAAATAATATAGGGTGCTTTGTTGGAACAAAGTCAGCAGGACACTTCAGTTTTTTAATTTGTTTTTTTTTATATATAAAAACAACTACTTATGACACATGTTTAGGCTGTTTTAAAATCCTAAAAATGTGGTAAGTACATTTGTTTTCAGAAAAAAACTTTGAAGTCAGCAAGGAATTGCGAATTTTTTTTAAAATGCCAAATTTCGAATATTTTATAATATTGTAGGAGCCAAAAAACGTGGTGTGGTTTAAAAAAAAACTGGGGTGCTCTGCTGGATTCGTTTGAAGCTAACAAAGCATCCCGTAATTTTTTATTTTATAATACTCAATAGCCTAAAATGAGACATAGCTGTTTAAACAAAAAATTGTATTTTTAAAAATGACAGTTTTTTCGAAAAGCTCTATAATATTTCAAAAATGTGAAAATGTGGTGAGATTGTTTTTTTTTAAGTTTTGAAAATCCGAGGTTCTTTACTGGATTCGTTCAGAGCTAGTAAAGCTCTGCTCGTCTTGTTACATAAAATAAAGGCATTTTGTAGCTGGTTATATAGTTATTTTGTAACTGCATATCTAACCCTTTTATTTTTTTCAGTTGGTTGTAAATATGTGGCTTCATAGAAGAAGT